CTAAACCCTAAACCCTAAACCCTGAACCCTCCAACCCTAAACCCCAAACCCTGAACCCTCAACCCCAAAAACCCTAAACCCTAAAACCCTAAACCCTAAACCCTAAACCCTAAGCCCTAAGCTTTAGGGAGAAGCTTTGGAGCCTCCAGTCAGGCTCCTCAGCTGCGAAAGGGTCGAACGCCGGCAGGTCACGGGGATGGATGAATCCTGATCAGACCGTTTGGGTTTAGGGTTTAGGGTTTAGGGTTTAGGGTTTAGGGTTTAAGGGTTTAGGGTTTAGGGTTTAGGGTTAGGGCTTGGCTCTAGGGCTCTAGGGCTCTAGGGTTTAGGGTTTAGGGCTTTAGGGCTCTCGGGTTCTAGGGTTTGCTCTTGGTTGAATTCTCTGTTCCTCCTGCTGCAGTCGGAATAGCACCACAGGGTTTAAAGCTTAGGGCTTTGAAGTTGAGGTCTGAGGGTTTCAGGGTAGGGCTTGGGCTTGAGGTTTAGGGTTTAGGGTTTAGGGTTTAGGGTTTAGGGTTTAGGGTTTAGGGGTTTAGGGTTTAGGGTTTAGGGTTTAGGGTTTAGGGTTTGAGGTTTAGTGGATAAATGAAACCTGATCAGGGCTACAGTCTGCTATAAGGCTTGACTTGCATATCATCTACACAGGCATATATACAAATATACATTCCTACATCCGAGCATGCATGCATGCATGCGCACATACATATTCATACACACACACATACGCATGCCGGTATGTCCGTATGTAAGTTATGTCTGTATGCATGCATGTATCTATGTATGGTCTGTACATGTTTGCTTATTTAAAGGGTGTGCATGCTTCGTCGTGAGGTTCATGTAGCCCTTTCATCGGGTATGGAGGTGGTAGATTGTAGAGAACTGAGGTTAGCACAGGAACCAACAACTGATCAGAACAATGGTTCGCGGCTGGGCGTTCTACGATCCTAATGAAGGTTCCTGGTAAGCACAGGTTTGAGTTTTTGTTTGGGTGGTTCGGGCCCATAATTTGACACCGAAACCGAGCCACGGCCCAAATTTTCGGATTTGCTCATATAGGGGCCTTAATAATTAGAATAGGGTTTGGGGGCTTATTATACTATAAATATAAATAAGGAACCCCCCAAAAGAGTATAGGTAATTATCTAGGCCCCTATATTAGTTCGTAGCCACGCCCAGACCCACACGCGAAAAGATCCCACTTCTCAGCGTTTAGGGTTTAGGGTTAGGGTTTTTGAACTGCCGAATGAGTGCCGAGCGGCCAGATTTTCTTATGATGGCTATTTCTGGGGGACATTGACAATGACAGCGATCATCGACAAATTCTAACAATGCAACGAGTGCTCAACTTCGCTTGCGAGCGATCGTTCGTCCTCTTACGTTGACGGTTGCAGTTTCACTTACACTTGCAACATTAATCTTTGTCCTACGGTCATGTGCTGCCCCTAACTAATCACAACCCCAGTATGTTTAGGGGCCTTTATAACTAGAATAGGGTTTTGGGGCCCAGTATACTATAATTGTAACAGGGAACCCCAAAATAGTAGAGGAAACTACTTAGGCCCCTACATTAATCACAACCCCAGTATACGACCTCAGAGTCAGCAACAGTCGGCCTTGGGCTATCGGCCCTTTTGAATTCCATCGCCCCGGGCTCTTGGTGCGGCTTTCTTCAGTCCTCGTCGTCTTTGCTGTAAAAGACAGGGCGCCGGCCAAGAGGCTTCGAGGAGGCGGGCTGCTGCCTGGGCGACTGCGGGGGAGGAGTTGGGGGCGGGGACTCCCTCTCCGAAGCTGAAGAGGAAGAGTCTGAAACCTCCACGAAGCGTCGGTTCGGCCTTCCGACGGACGCCGAGCTCAGGCCCCGGTCGTACTTTGGGCTTGCTGGAGAAAGCGCATCCGTATCCTCAGCTTCAGGCTCCTTGCCCTGGAGCAATGGAAGGTCCCCCTCCACTGTCTCTGGTTCCTTACGTTCCTTCTCGGTCTCGGAGAGAGTCTGCTCTGTCTCTGTCTTCTCTGGCGGAGGCTGCAGCGACGCAGAGTCGGCAGCCAAGGGCAAGCTCGCCGTGTCAGCTGGAGCTCCGAGGTCCATGGAAGCCTCTCGCGAGGGTTCGCTGCCCTTTGCCGGTGATGCTGCTTTCTCGTGCGCTTTCGGCGCCAAGTGCCACCACCAGGCGGGCAAGACCGAGCAAAGCAATACTGCGATGATGCCTGCTCCTTGCCGGTACCGTTGTTGCAGAGAGAGTTCTCTCGTGGGTGTCTCCACTAGCACGCCATACATCGCCACCTCCCAAGAATACCCCATCTGCAACGCAAGTGCTCGCAGTAGGCAGTCTGGAGTGGCATCTTTGCCGGACCACGCGCCGCATGTCCCCATGACAGCAACGGAGCCTAAGGAAGCCACGAGGGCCTGCAGCATGAAAGCAGCGAGCCTCTCTGTGACCTGGGAGTTTCCAAAAATCGGGGACCCTAATATAGCACCCTAAATAATAGGATCCCTATTATAAGGACCCCAAAATAAGGTACCCTAATTTGCTGAAACTCCCACCTCCAGCTTCCGGTGGCCAGAGGTCGTGCTGTACCAAAGCAGCCACTGCAACCAGAAAAACACGAGCCAGGATGCCGTCATCGCTGTGGTCTCGGCAAGCCAGGAGACGGCACAGCGAAGATTCGCCGAAGTCCCCGCAAGAGACTTCGAAAGCCCACTCACGAGAATGCAAAGCATGAGTGCTAGGCAGGTGCCAAAGCTCATCCACATGAGGTCAGCCTGTGTCAAAGCTCCAGTTTTCGTAGGGCTACCAGGCACAGAGCCCACCACAGCGAAGCGCACCCAGACAGATATCAGGAATCCCACGGCAAAGCCACCAGCTTCTCGATGCATTTCCTGCATGCTTACCGCATCAAGCTCGTCTCGATCTGAATGCGGTAGTGACTCGTAGCGCTGCTTCAGCCGCGAACAAAGCAAGGCCATTGACACCCAAAGCAGCTGCACTCCTAGGACACCAAGCAAGTACTGGCCAGGTGTAGTCACAGCTAGCCGCAGAAGCTGTGCGAAGGTGTCGGCCCCTGCAAAGCCTACAAGGTGCCCTGCGGCCACCTGCATCGCTTTCCCAGGTACCCCCCTCCGGCGCCCCAACCAGGGCACAAGCACAAAGAGGGCCAGGAAGCGCATGGCGCTGAAGAGCCCACCCACCAGGTCGTGGTGTGGCGTACTGAGCTTCCATATCTTTTTCATGGCCATGAAAGCCAAAACCGTACAAAGCAAAGAGCCGGACCTCAGCATCAGGTGCCTAGTAGAATGTTGAAACCTGCTCTTTGACAGGTAAAACAAGACACCTGAGAAGCCCAGCATGCCCAGAAGTATGAGGCCGTTTGCCAGATGAGCCTTCCGCATCATCTTGGAGGAAAATCTCTTGGATTTCTGGTGTGCCTGGGAGAGGGCGACCGTGCCGGGCCCATTCCTCCAGCCTTTTCTTGCAAACCTGTGCAAATGTTGCTTGGAATATTGGCTGATGAGCCTTCTGAGCCTTTGGCTTCCGACTCCTAGATGGGTGTGGCGAATCTCCGGGGCGACGGAAGCTGCACGCACGCAGATCAGTAGAACGACCGTGAGGCCAAAGCGAGACATCCGAGCTATGCCCACATGCGGCGCAGCTGTCGTAAGCAAGATAAATTTGCTCACATGGCTGCTGCAAATTTGCAAACCACAAAGATCTGGACAGAGCCAAAACGGCCAACATGGTTCCGCCCGGTTAGGCAAGTCACAGCTAGGTGAAGCGACTGCGAGAGGGCTTCGAACGGCTGCAAGGAGGTCCTTCTGGAACCACGATATTGTTCACATCCACCTCCCGCGGCTTGCGCGGCTTTTGCGGGGCGCTCGTTCCAATGCCTGGCGGCCGGACCGTGACATTGGGCGATATTGGTGATGTCAACACTTCCTTCAAACTTATGAGTTTTTATACTTGGCCTGAAGCATCGTACGAACAGCCGTTGTTCATGTTGATGTGATTATATAATATAATATAATATAATATAATATAATATAATATAATATAATATAATATAAGATAATATAATATAATATAATATAATATAAGATTCTCTCAAATATGAAAACCACACTGACTTCTA